TCTGAGAGTTTTCAGATGGTAGAACATCTTCTAACAGAGGCATTAGAAGAACGTTGTGCCTATTATGATAGAAATCAACTTAAATCCAACCCCTACTAATAGTCAAATATGTGTTTATTCCATCTGAAAAACAAGCAGGCATCTTGGAAACTTTAGGTTACCTGGAACGGTATCCATGAGATCACGGTTGTTTTTTTAACCCCCAATGGCTACATGTTACTTTGGATTGTATGTTGACCTCTCAGAAACACTGCTTAACTACAAAGCAAAATGTCTCCACAAGAAACAATATTCTTGAAAAGCTATCAGGAACCAGATGGGGCACACAACCACAAATGGAAGAACTACAGCCCTGACCATATGTTATTCTGCAGGTGAGTACACCAGCCCAGTGTGTTATACTTCAGCCCATGCAAAGCAGGTAGAGTTAGCATTCAATGAAAGCTGCAGAATCATCACTGGTGTCTGAAACCAACTGATACTGATACGGAGTAGGCACTGCATCCAGTGACATATGGAAAGAGGTAGCAGCTAATAGTGAAAGACTCAAAGCATCTACATCAAAGGTTCATCCACTCTTGGGCTACTATCCTGCCCCTCCAGATTAAGGAAAAGCTTTTTTTTTAAATAATATCTACCTATCCTGAAGGAACAGGAGAGACTGCCAGGAAGATAATGTGAAAAGAAAGAACTTTCCATCTCTTAAAATGGAGGGAATCCCAGGGGGAAAAAAGGAAATAAAATGAATCAAGGATGCACAAAGGAAGAGAGATACAAAATCAAGGATCTGTATTGGGCTAGTCACCTCAGTGTCCATCAAACATAACCACTCAAATCTTGTCTTTTTCCCCCTGGACAACAAATCTGATGGAGATACCATCTTCAAAAATAAAGGATGAATTATTACTACTACTGTTATTAGGCCCTGGCCATATGGAGAACTGGATTACTAGGAAGTCACTTAATAAGGCTATGGAGTGGAGCTGGCAAAATCAAAGTGAACCTAAGAAAATGCAACATTCACTCTCTGTAGTTCTTTGCAAGTGTGGAGAAGAGCAGACAACTTCATGTCTGCATCAGTGTTCTCTGTGCCCCTCAACATGTGCTATGGAAAACATGATGTTAGCAGCCCTATGTGCTCTTGTTGTTGCCTGTTATTGGGTGAAAGTTATCTGTTATATTTATTCATTGTACTGTGGTGCTT